GGGGGGGGGGGGGGGGGGGCCGGGAGCCTGCTCCCATCCCGGAGTACAGGAAACCTGGAGGTCTTCACAGTGTGGGGGCCCCCCATGTCCTGTTTGTTCAGGATGAGGAGGGAGGTGGAGGCAGGGACAAAGAAAGGGAGGAACGGAAGGCAGGGAGGAGGAAGGCTGGGGTCCCTGCACTGAGACCCCTTCTCTCGAGGAGAGGATGGAGCAAGAACTGGCAGCAGCAGGCAGGCCGGGGGCCCAGGGCCCGTTCCCACATGGGCAGGGCCCCCAGGGCTTCCTTGGCTCCCACGCAGAGCAGGGCCCGGGGCCAGGCTCGGCTCGGATGCCTGGACCCCAGCCCACTGTGGCATCTCAGTCCCCCCGGGATGCTGGGTAACGTCTCACGTCCCGCCGCCGAAGGTCAGCCTCTCCCTGTTCGGAGGCACGGGCAGAGGCAGAAGCGTGGTGCAGCCTCAAAGCGATCAGGCAAGAGCGAGGTCTGCCTTGCTCTGGGCTGAATGGCGCTATTTTTAACTTTGTCCTGCCTCTCCACTTCTCCGTCAAGCGCTTAACCCTTTCTGTCCCCAGTTGGGCCAGGTGGGTGTGTCCTTCAGCTGACCTTCAGGCGGGGAAGGGCTGGCCGGAAGGCAGACCAGTGGCGGGGGCAGTCGAGAGGACACAGGGCTCCTTGAGGGAGTGCGGAGTCCCTGACGCCTCTTGGCAGCAGGCCGAACCCCCACCGTGCAGGGCCTTCCCAGCAGGGCAGGCGCCAGGTGGCAGGGGGCATCCAGGGAGGCCTCTGCCCCGTCGTGCCTGCCCAGCGGCCCACAAGGCCCTTCCCAGTGGGCTGGGACAAATAAGCCTCCTGGGCTGGGTGAAGCCTCATCTGCCCAAAGGGGGCAGCTGGGACTGACTTTGTCTCCGGACATGTTTTGGGCAGTTCAGGCAAAAGGAAACACGTTATTTGTTTTTTTGAGTTGGAGTCTCACTGTGTTGCCCAGGCTGCAGTGCAGTGGCATGATCACGGCCCCTGCAGCCTTGACCTGCTGGGCTCGGGCGATCCTTCCACCTCAGCCTTCCAAGTAGCTGGAACCATAGGCATGTGTCACCACACCGGCTAATTTTTTGACTTATTGTAGAGACACGGTCTCGCTAAGTTGCCCAGGCTGGTCTTGAACCCACAGGCTCAGGCAATCCTCTCACCTCAGCCTCCCAAAGTGCTGGGATTACAGGCTTGAGCCACTGCACCCAGCCACATTTTTAAACTTTCTAGTGGTCTCATTTAAATAGAGAAAAGGTAAAGATGATATATTTTATTAAATCCAATATATCAAAAATATTCTCTCATCAACATGTAAGTGACATAAAATAATCACTGAGATACTACTTTTTTTCTTTTTGGTCACAAGTTTGAAATCAGGGATGCATTTTGCATGTAGAGCCTATCTCAGCTGGACTTAACACCATCTCAAACTCAAGTGGCTGTAACTGGTGCTATTAAGCAGCCATCTTGAAGCCCAAGAAGCTTTGAGAGAAGGCCGGGCCAGAAGAG